ACTTCGAACATTTTCATGACACATATTAAATAGACATTTAGTAATCATCTTTAAGATGTATATGGTTTATGTAAATTCACTTTGGAGACGTACATGAGCTCCCGTATTCGCTATTACATAATAAAATGTGTTTTTACAGAAAAATCACAAATATACTATACTGTCTAGCGACCTTTAGCAATTCAACAGTTTACTCTACAGTAGATCAACAAATGCGATTTTAACACAAGGAACCGTGTTTTGATTTATAATACATTTGTAAACATCTTCGTCGCTGTTCTCCTTCACGTTCGATGATGACGTAACCTCTCGCGTGGCCTCCTGGGATAGAAAAGTGTTCATCGATGAGCACTGAATCTAGACTGAAGCAGTAGGACATCCGGGGATTTCTCGCCTACTCTTTTATGAATACTGAGGTTTCGAACATACTTCTTTCTTCACATACGCTTTTCTCCTACTATATAGTAGGTAAGTATATGCCTCAGCTTGTCAATGTAGCATCAATGGATTGATAATGACTAATGGTTACTGCTCTGACATTACAGGGACTGATGAACACACTCGGCTCCTCGTCCAGTGGAGAGTGGCTAATGAAGTCGTCTTCACTGGAAAGCGTAATGCTGCCATCAAAGGTTTTGAGTAAGTAAACAAGTTATGTAAAATGTACTTTTAGTCAGGTGTTGTTGACACTGAACGTAGTACATACTAACACTTCAAGCAAAGGTCTTACTGCCTTCTTTTTATGCTTGATTTCTGTGCATTTATTATGACAGCTTTTGTGACAGAGCAGGGACTTGAGGGCAAAATTTCTGCCGCTCAAGTCAAAAGAAAGTGCGAGAACTTAAAACAAAAAAATAAAGTAAGATTTAAAAAAAATATATTTTTTGTTCACCCCAAAATTTTTATTAGTTCATGATTTGATCATGCTGTTTTTCCATGTCATAGTAATGCAGTAATCTAATGAATGTAATTGACAATTGTCTTGATATTGTGCTTTTCAATTTTTGTAGGATCTTAAATGTCCACAGACTGGTGTGAGCACCGAGGATGGTTCCTATTACTGGGGCATCACTTGCTGGTGGCTTGATCCGGATGTGGCATCCGTCTATTGCACCAGCTACCAGCTACCAAACTGGAGACCCAGCCAGCTGGGCAAAACCTGCCCCCACTGCCTCCAGGTCATCCGGGGTCAGGAAAGCGATCAGCCTCCTCAAAACACTGATGACTGCCCTGCTGATTCTGTGCACAATGCCATGCACCGTGGACTTTGGGATGTCAAAGCCCAGTGACACCAGCCTGTACGATGCTGCGTGGGCCAGCCAGTAGAGAAACACCAGCACCTCAACATCTTTTTCCCAGCCATGGTCAGAATCTGACTTCAAAGCAGCGATGAGGGACATGATGGACTGTCGTGAAAGCCGGAGGTTTGGACGGAGGTCAGATCCATCTTCGAAATACAATCGAAGGATTGGCACAGCAGCATTCAGGTGGCAGTAGGTTGTAGGGCTCAGTCTGTAAATGTGTGTATATATATTTTTTTAGAATATGTGTATTATTTATTTATTATGTTTATATTACTTATTATGTAATTTATGTATATATTATATCTATCTATAATATTTATTTAGACTATGTATATATTGTATGTATTCATTCTCTCCCTCTCTCTCTCTATTTATCCAATTGTGTATTATGTATTCATTCAAGTTTATTCATTGATTCATGTCTTTTGTTTGTCCTGTGTATTTTTATGCATTTATTTATAACAATAAATTACTTTATTTCGTTGCTCCAAATGAGCCTCTGTCCTGGTGTTCACAGACATGACTTTATTCTGAGGTAAAATGTGCTAGCTAAATAGGTGATTGTACTTACCTTATTTGATAAATGATTTACAAGCTGTCGACAAAGGCGTGATCTTTTATTTATTTAGTCATTTATCAGATGCTTTTATCCAAAGCGACTTACAAATGAGGACAACAGAAGCAATCAATTGTAGTATTAAAACAACTAAAAACAGATCCAAAACTAAAAGCTAAAACTTTATAAATACTACCTATACACATTTTAAAAATAAAGAGATTAAATAAAAATGACAAATGCATACAACAAAATTTCATAAAGCTAAAAACAATTCAAAATAGTAAAGAACAAAAGGTATAAGAGTATAATAACGATTCTAACAACACTAAGCCAAACACCAAAAAAAAACAAAACTATGTGTATGTACAACCACACACTCACATATATATATATATATATATATATACACACATACACATTTATAAATTCAATATATATATATATATATATTATTTCATTTCCATTTAGTTTGTTGAAGTATTAAAATAACTCA